GATAAGTCTCTCTTAATCCTAATCTAATAAGATAATCTAATTTACTAACGTAATAAGATAAGAATAACAAGATAGTCTAATCTAATCTGCTGAATGGATAAGACTGTTGCTGCCGAATTGGATAGGATGAGAACACCGGATCATTGCTGTTGCTTCTCCCAATACGCATCCACATCAGGTCTGTTATCTGATATCTATTATCCCACCAGACAGCTGCAGTTATCTTAAAGTTCCTTCAGTCCACAAATGAAACAGTAATCCCACAACTCATATTTCAATCCTCCTCTCTGCTTCAAAGTTTCTTGAATTGCTAAGTGGACACCACTTTACCACAGTGACCGCTCATACTTTGTATCCACCATAATTGTTGCAATTTCTGGGTCTTCCAAAACTTCTAATACAGACTTCTTTCTTTCAAAGGGTGAAAAAAACTAAAGTACATTTCAACTTGAAGTGATCAATAAGCTTACCCATCACTTTCTACAAGTCATCGGTGTCACTTTTTCCGAGATTATCAATTTTTTATTCCATTCCTCTCTAGATGTTGTGGTCATTACTCTTGGGTTGACCACCTTCACTGTTAACTTTACCTTTAAGTTAGCTCCTTGGTTTTTTATATCTGCTTCTATCGTCGCTCTTGATTTCACCTCCTTTTCTTTGCATTCCTCTGCTTGGTTTTCTTCTTTAACTTTCCCTGCCTTCATCATCTTAACCTTATGGATCTTCTTCTCTTCCATTGCCTTAAGAAAATCCTGTACCAGCTCTGATAAAAAAACCCAGACCATCACTTTCCTCTTCTCTGGAAAGCAAACCATTTGTTTCTTCCCATCACCATAAAACCCAATCAAATCCACAAACTGACCTTTGTGAATCCTTCTCTCTACAAAGTACTTCCTGACTGCTACAGTCCAGCTCCTCCACTTGATTGTACCTCTGGTATGTATTGCTCTGTCAAGAATGCGTTGAAACCAAAATGTTGCACGCCTGCTATCATCACAGTTGCCTGGTTCATTTCTTTAATCATCACCTGTATTTCTCTTCCATCACTAAGTCTTAGCCTAAACCTTCAGTTTGCTTCTTCCATTGAGTCACCAGTGTGAATGTCCTTCCCACTTCTATGGTCTCTATCTGCCTTCAACCATAAGACCTATTGTATACATAACTTCCTTCTACTGAAAACCGCCTTAGGACTTGGATGTTATCTCTATTCTGCCTCCAGACAACTCTGTCACTCACCTTGGTAAGGTAGTTGTTAGAGTCAGCTGTCAAAGGGGAGTTTGGTCCGTTTGTTTTACTTTAATTGATTAGTGTTATGTCTTTTATGTCTCAATTTAAGTGCTAAGTCCCATAATTAGGGGCAATAACTACCACTGTACTTCATACTAGATACATATAAATACAACCTCGTCAACAAGAGAGAATAGATTTGAATCCTCTAAATCAAACCAAGGGCACTCTCTCTCTCTCCTGTTTCTTCTATTCTTCTCTTTCATTCTTGGACTGAAACCAGTGCAGATCGAATCAATAACATGGTATCAAAAGGATACCAGAAAGGAATGATCGTTTCTTTGTTTAGGAGGTTTTCAAGCCTCCAGTTGGTGCTGATGTGAGTGTGTCAGGTGGTCGGCAGAAACCCTCTAATTGATTAATGAAGAGGGCCATGTAGTGGACAGATTAGTGCACAGTTGGTTTCTATGTAATAGTCAGCTTGGTTGTTTGGGTGTTGCAGTGGAGAATAAATGTAAATTGATTGTTGACCTACAGGTATGTGTTTGAGGTGTTTCTTTGTGGTTTTGTGGTGCTGAAGGTGGGTGACAGCCTTGACCATTATTGCTAAAACTTGTGACAATAGATTTTTCAGCAATAATTAGTCATTAGTGTAGTGTGGTGTTATACTAGTGAGAAAGTTTTTTTTTTTCCAAACCCATGGCAACCATAGGAGAAAGTACTGAACACAAATCCAGTGTTCTGATTCCCCCTAATTACTTGAAGATGCAGATGATCTCTATCAAACTAAATGGTGAAAATTATGTTCCTTGGGCTAAGTCAGTGGAAGTCTTAGGGCTAAGAAGAACACAAAACATGTGAAAGATGACAAACCCTCAGTTTTTTCTCAAGGGTACAATGAGCGGGAACAAGAAGATACACAGATCATGACATTTGTGGAATAGCATGGACCCAAAATTAGTGTGAAATTTATGTTTTTAGATACAACCAAGGAAATTTGGGATATTGCTAAGAAACTTTATTCTAGGCAAGACAATAGAACAAGAGTATATTAGCTTTACCAAGAGCACTTTAATCTACAGAGAGGAAATCAAAGCCTTAAGTAGTATTATACCAACATGAGAAATCTTCAGAATGAGTTGAATGTCTATCATCCCCTTGCATCTAATGTCAAAATTCAGCAACAGAAGTAACAACTTGATGTGACCAGATTTTTAATGGGATTGAAACCTGAATATGAGCTTGTGAGAGCACAACTATTAGGTGGCTCTATTCTTCCCTCTCTTAAGGAAGTGTTTGCTTGTCTCTATAGGATTTCTATTGGACCTTCAAAGAACTCTACTATCTCTGATATCTCTACCTTTGTAGTGGCAAGAGGGAGAGGTCGTGGAAATAGAGGAGGAGGCCAAGGAGTTTAGACAGGTCCTGGTGGTGGTTCTATGTTTAACCAAGGTGGTAGGCATGATGGAGGTAGAGATTCAGGGGAGAGGTCGTGGTAGAGGACGTAGTAATGGCCCAAGGAAGTGTACCTATTATGGAATGGAGGGGCACACTTTTAATTTTTGTTATAATCTACATGGGCCAATCATGTGGTGACAAGTGGTGGTGGTACAAGAGATAAAATTCAACAAGTCTATTGGACACCTTCTACACCTACAAATGCCTTAAAAAGAAATGTTGAGTGTTACACGTGATGAATATGAGTGGTTTCTTTAGGCTACCTTACAGCAAAATACTACTACCATTTCCCCACTTAGGTATGTAATTTTATGACCTATAATGGTTATAAGTATTTTGTAATTTTTGTTGTTGATTATTCAAAGATGACATTGGCCTTATCTTATGAAAGGAATGAATTTGAAAGGGCTGCGCCTAGGACCTAGGCAAGATGCATACCCTAAAATGCACCTCGCCTGTGCGCCTAGGCGCCCTTTTAAATCACTACAGCAATATTTGGAACAGCATAGCATTATTCATCAAATTTCCTATACTTACAGCCCTCAACAAAATGGGGTGGTTGAACAAAGGAATCACCATCTCCTTGAGGTTGCTCAATCACTTTTGCATCACATAAGTGTTCCCAAGCATTTATGGATGATGCTATAATTACATCTTGTTTCCTTATTGATCAAATGCCCATGTCTATCCTTGAAGGTTGTTCTCCCTTCTCCATTTTATTTCCTACTTTATCTCCTTTTCCTCTCACTCCCAGGGTTTTTGGTTGTGTGTTTTTGTTCATAATCTAGGGCCCAGGATGGACAAATTGGATGCATGATCTACAAAGTGTGTCTTTGTTGGCTATTCTAGAACCCAAAAAGCGTTTAAGTGTTATAATCTCAATTCCAAACATTCATTTTTTGTCCGAATGACACTTTCTTTGAGTTTGCCCCTTTCTTTACTAGGTCTAATGTCTCTCCCTCACCTTTTGCACTTCCACTTCTTGTTCCAGTTGATGACCCCATTCCTCTTGTTCCAACTGCAACCAAGCCCTCGACTCCAATGCAACTTCCTAGTAAGCGACCACCAATCAGGCAAGTGTATACTCATCGACATGTACCAGCTCCTCCTCTACTTTCCTCTCTATCAACAAATCCAAATGTTGTTTCCCCACCAATTTTGCCCCCTTCTTCTAACCTTGGTCTTCCCATTACATTGTAGAAAGGTAAATCCATTTGCACTCTTCATCCTATTTCTAACTATGTTTCCATTTCTCATCTTTTTGCTTTCCGTTGCTAGTTTGTTTCTCTTTTATCCTCTATGTTTATTCCTAAGAATGTCTAGGAAGCTCTTACCTCTCCAAGGTGGCACCAAGCAATGGAAGAATAACTCTTTGCTCTTGCTTAAAATCACATGTGGGATCTTACCACTCTTCCTCCTAGCAAGCATGCTATAGATTGTAAATGGGTGTACGCTATCAAATACCTAACAGATGGCAAGATAGAGTAGTTGAAGGCTTGATTGGTTGCAAAAGGTTACTCACAATTATATGGAATAGATTATACAAAGACCTCTCCTATTGCTAAGATTGGCTCAATTCGTGTATTGATATCCCTTGCAATTATATATGATTGGCTCTTGTTTCAGCTTCATTAAGAATGCTTTCTTACATGGTAATCTTCTTGAGGAAGTTAATATGGAACAACCACCAGGGTTTGTTGCTTAGGGAGAGGATGGTAAGGTGTGCAAACTCAAAAAGGCAATTTATGGGCTAAAGCATGTGCATGGTTTGGTAGATTTAGTGAGGTGGCAAAAGATTTTGGCATGAGACAGTGTTAAGTTGATCGTTCAATATTCAACTATGATTCAGATACTAGTAAGATTTTGTTGGTGGTATATGTAGATGACATTATTATAACTGGCAGTGAGAGGATTGAGATTGATAGACTAAAGACATTTCTTCGGAAGAGTAGCAAGGTCAAAGCATGGTATTAACTTCTAACAAAGGAAATATGTTCATGACTTGCTAGAGACAGGATTATTGGGTGCCAAACTAGCTGAAACACCCATGGAGACAAATGTCAAATTAAGTACTGATGCAGGTGAGGAATTTGAGGATACTGGGAGGTACAGGATTGGGTACTCGGTTGACAGCCTTATGAAATTGTATTGTGACAACAAAGCTGCATTCCACATCTCTTCTAATCCAATTTTGCATGGACCTAACCTCTAGCATTTTTTGCATAAAGTAGCTGCTGTCAAACTTGACCCACATTTACATCATAAGTTCTATATAAAACAATAGGAAGTGGAAACATGCCTTATTAAATATATCCTGTAAATTACTTTACATATTTGTCCAAAATCATCCCTACATGACAAGGTTCCTTGTAACCCAGTTTCATCCTAAGCCTTAAAAACTATGCCACTTATGGTAATTCTTATATGTTATTTAAGAAGAAAGATTTTAATGAGGACTTTTTGAAGTGTTAAGTGTATACGTATGTGCATCAAGAATTTTTTTTTTTCAATCAGTATTTACATCAGGGAACTTCTATGAAGTTTATTTGGAAGATTAGTTTGCACTTGAAGTAGAGTTTCTAAAAAAATCTCCTTGTTTACAAAATCACTCACAGGTGAGGTTTTACTGAATAAAATATGAATTTTGTTGTTCATTTACTCTTCCAATATCTTTGGTTAAATGTTCACTATTACCAGTGAAGAAATTTGAATAGTCATGTCATTTGAGAACAAATCATTTGCAGACACATTTATCAGATAGTTTTCTGGAGGACCAATGCAGATGCAGCATGCAATCTATTGGTCACCGCAGATGGAAGAATGGAAGGTACTTTGGTAATTCTGTAATGATCAAAAATCTAAACATCACCAACAGGTTGAACAGAAAATATAGATTGGAGCAACTACTGATCTCAAGTCGGGCATCAGTATAGTTGTTAGAGACCACTCTGGAGCCTTCCTTTGTGCACAAGCTATATCATTTAAGCCTCTATGGCCGCTAGTAACCGAAGCTACAGCCCTTCTGGAAAGCAATCACTTTTCCATCTCTTTGGGACTCTATCATATCATCTTTGAAGGTGATGCAGGAGTTTACTGAATCACCTTGTTAGGTCCTCCATTACTTTCTCTCTTAGAAGCGGAAACCAGGTAGCTCACTGTATCACTAGATTTGTCTTGAGTTGTAACTCTACTTAACCTGGTCTACTATACCATATTTTCTGCTATCCGTTCTAAACTTAGATGTAACTAAGAGTTAATTGATGAATGGATTAGCCTACGGGCCTTTAAAAAATATCTGGAAGCTTTCCAAGTTGTCCAGTAGCCTAATTTGCACTCATTCCATATTGATCATGAAAGTTCCCCTATTTAAAATCATAAGCCCAAAAAAAAATCAAAAGTTAGTTTTGTTGGCTCCATATTACACATTTGGACTGAACACATTAATTGAATACCCAACAGTAGGTTCCATCTATCTGGCAACATCCTTCATCTTGTATAATGGAGATATAAACAATGCATTGAGAAACTTCTCTCTTAATCTAATTTCAATATGCACTGGGCCACTTCCGCTGGTATAAACCATTAAAAATAGCTTCTCAAGAATCCCGGAGGATAAAATCGTTTTTCAGAACCTCCTTATTGTTAGTTCCAGTTTTGCAATTGAAACTCGAGCTACTTGAAAAGGAATCCATACACTAAGACTCCATGGCAACCCGTTACAAGTAATAACAACCATTACAACCAAGGGAACCACAACCATTGTCAGCATGTTTACAAACGTAGTCTCTAAAAAAATAGCAAAGGTAAAATTATATTCCAACCTAAACCCGTAGAGATTATAAACTAATACAAAAAAATAAAAAAGGCAAGAACATGAATTGGAAAAATCCAACCAGGTCATGAATCACAGAGCTCGATCAGGAAATAGAAAGCCCAATTAGAAATAGTCAATTAGAACACCAAGTTACTAAATCCTGAATAGACAATAAAGTTGCCAGCTCTACCAAAGAAACAAGCCGAAAACACTTATAAATCTTTGTACTGTGTTTGTACCTTCGTAGCTTTGTATATGCTTCGGCTCTTCGTTGCTGGACCCCGAGAAATCTCCGAAGCAAATGAACGACTTTGGTGGATTTCGATTGGCTTTCTACGCCATCTACCTCCATGGTTTCTTCCATTGCAATCTTCTGGAAGACTTCCATCGTCTTGTTGTCCATTGGGATCCCTCCTTGGTTCCGATAAACAGTCTAGTGAGCCGGTTTGGGTGATTTACGAGGAGTCGGGATTTGGTGCGAAGACAAGACTGTGATGCCGGGGACCGGATCTGCTCCTCACATCTGGCGCCTCACAGGCATATCCTACACGCATTGGGAACCTCCCGTACTTGTTAGTCATTATTGATGGGAGATGTTCTCAATGCACGGTGGATGTACCTGTGAGGTGCCCATTTGTAAGTAGTAGATCCCACTTCGTGATGTCGAGCGGCTTTCTTTAGGACAAGTTCGTACCCACACCATTCCAACCACCATTTGCAACCTTGCATTGGGAATATCTCCCCATGAATAAATATGTTATGAGATCAGATCTGCTCCTCACATAGGGCGCCTCACAACGACCTCACAGGCACACCCCACCATGCATTGGGAATACCTCTCGAACTTATACGTTATTATTATTCATGGGAGATCCCAATGCATGGTGAGATGTGCCTGTGAGGTTAGTGTGAGGCGCCCTGTGTGAGGAGTAGATCCGTTCTCTTTCAAAGGTCAATTCGCTACCCTTATGGTTTAGTGAATTGATTAAGTGTACCCCTACTATTTGAAAATTGTCTAACCTACCTTTATTGTTTCCGACAATTGACTAAGGGCATTTTGTTTCTTCTTAATTCTTATCTCAAAACAGGAATTTTTTGACTTTAGGAGAAAAATGGTTGTTCATTTCCTCTTTTCTCTTATTTCTTAAAGTGCAATCATACAACATTTTGTTTTTCAATGATACCCCAAAATAGATATTTGATCATTTTCATAATTTAAAATTCGGAATTCAGAACAACATTCTCTGCATTTAGAGTTCAAAGGAAAGAAAAGTTCACCACTACCAATATGCCTCTTAAAGTAATTATTGCACTTTTAGATGTTAGACTTCAGAACAAACGAATAGGCCCTAAGTCTTACGAGTGTCGTTAAACATGGACAAAATGATTGCAATGTCTGTTTACCCTTTAACTCAAACTTAAGACCAAAAGTTAAATTTACCTTTTCATCCCTTGTTTTAGTGCATATGTGCGGGTTTACTCAACATCATCATAGGCAACAGGGCCGCTGCAACTTCCGAACGTCGGAGCTTTGGTGAGAAATAGTATTTTTTTATACATTTTTTTTTTTATTTAAGGTCATGGTGACCTTAACCAAGAAGAGATCATCAACTAATAACTGTCGAAGCCAAATCTGATGTAGGCTAAGAAATGGGAGCCCAATATGATGGATGATTGTCCAACAACCTTCAAACTAAAATCTAAAGCCTGACTTGATGTGGGAAAAGAAACGGGTGCCTGATCTAATGGCGGGTAGAAAAGATTGGGAGGTCTTTGGATAGTATTCCATCGGATCTGGCTTCGACCATTGAGGCTGGAAGGATTCCTAGAGAGATCATTTTTTGTTACTTTGATCAAGAGAAGTCACTGGATCTGGCTTTGATGATTGTTGGTATGGTTCTAGCCAGAGCCCTATCTTTGCACAAATGGAGGTGGTGGTATGGTTCCAGCTAAAGCTCCCTCCATGTGTAGGTGGAGCCCTGTTTTTGCTTGAGTTTTTTCCACCTATCATCATCAAAGAGTAGGATGACCTCAACCGAAGGAGAACTGACATCTAGTGAAGGAGCTAGGATGAATCGTGTCTTTCACTTGCAGGAGCAATACGTAGTGGTGAAGCAGGTGGTGAAATTTTTGAAGTCAAACAAGGCCATCATCATCTTGTAGTGGTGATACGTTGGTCGGAAGGCAATTATCATTTGATCATCATGGTCTTCTTGTTCAATTGGTAGTTTCATTATGTCTAAACCAACTTCAATCTTGCTTTCTCCCTCTTGAGTTAATACCAGTGAACCATAAAAGGTACTTAGACATAATTGTCTCTCCTAAATAAGAGCATTTTCGAATATAAAAGGGTATGTTGGGAATTTTTGAAAATATAACAGTAACGTTATGGCACATATGAATAGTTTAAGACAAAACGTTAACGATAAGGCAATATTTTCAACCCACCATTGACCCGGTCGAGCGAACCGTTCGAACTGTCATCCGGCCAGGATTCTAGGTCCAGTTTAGTCAAGACCTGTTAGATGGTAAAAACCGTTGACTTGGTCAAGAACTGTTTGACTCGGCCAATTTGACCATTGACCCATTCGACCCAGTGACTAGGTTGCCTTGCCCTACTATTTTTGCAAAAAAAAACTTTTTTTGGCCTCAAATTGTAATTTTTATTATTTTTTATAAATAAAAACAAAAAAAAATGAATTAAAAAACATATTGTATATACAATAATACATATAACATAATAACATATCTAAAGCATATTTATACATTACTTTTTGCTAAAATATATATTTATACACACACACACACGCACACACACACACATATATATATGTAAATAAATATAAATATATATACTTAATGCATATATACGCTGACGTGGCATGGTTTAAACCGTTCGACCCAGCCAGTTGAACCGGTAACCCGCGACCTGGAGGCAAAAATAGTTCGACCTCCGGGTTAGTTTTTAAAACATTGCAGTAAGGGAAGTATTAGTCAATTGTTAAAAACAATAGGGGTGCCATTAGACAATTTTCAAACAGTAAGGGTACACTTAGTTAATTCGCTAAACCATAAGGGTAGTTTAAGAAATTAACCCTATTTCCAACATGTTCCAAATGCACCGCTAAACGTGTTGTGAGGTCGGTGTCAGGCACGCTTTGTGAACAGATTTGAACTAAAATGGAGGCAAATTTATGTATGTATGTATGTATATTATGTCTATACTACTATTAAAAGTGTGAATGTTAGTGTGAAACTTTTGTTTGATTAAATACACCATTTTTTAAATTTGGTCCCTCTCTAATTGTAAGGACAAAAATGTAATTTGAATACYCACTTCTTTCCTCATTTGAATACCCACTAAATACACCATTTAAATCTTTACATCAAAAAGATAAAGCATTACAAAAGAAGAATCTAGCCAATTAGATAGGTCTGTCAATGATACTTGAAACTTCACAACTTGATCCTATTATTACATATTTGGATGAGATGTTTATGTAATAAAATTTGGATTTTGCAACCTGCATCCAATTAATACTAAAAAAATAAAAAATAAAAAATACATATTTATAGAAATTTTTTGATACATTATTACTATCATTAGCATAATCTAGAATGGCATGTAAAAAGCACATACACACTTAGTGTTGGTTTATAATGGCATGGGGAAGTATAATTAATTCTGAAGAACATTGTGATAGTGTTGGTTTATAATGCAAAAGAATCATTCGATTCCGATTGTTAGACAGTGTATGCCCTTATCTCCAATCAGATTGATGTACATAAACATTTATTAGTAAATGAATAATGTACATTATTATTTCATGTTTTATTGGTATGTTTCTATGAATTACTCTTTAAATTGGACACTTGTGAGACTTATGTTAGTTTAGAATATTCTCAACCATTAGATAGATTTGAAAAGTTTATTCTAACAAGGTTGACACCGATGTGCTACCCAACTGGTGGAGTAGTTTGTCTCAGCCAAGGTTTTAAAAGGCTAAAGACAAGACAGTTGAGGTGTAATGGCCCAAAAAGGTGAGGCATAAGCCTCAAAGTTTAAGGAAAAACTTTAATTAAAGTTTATAAATTGATGAAAATAACATATAATATGCCAAATTGAAATGATAAAAGTATACGTATCCATAAATCAGAAATTTATAAGCAATAAGTTTAGGCATTTAAGCATTAAATAAAATAACAACTAATCAACTAACAATTATTAATATTAATATTTTTACATTTCATGTAAAAAACCAATTTAGAAGAAAAGAAAAACTTAGTTGATTTTTTCTATAATAATAATAATAATAATAATTATTATTATTATTATTATTATTATTATAAAGAAAAAAGATCCATTAGTAGAAGAAATGAGAAAAATAACAAACTTGGGACATTGCATTTAGAATAATAAGAAAAATCTCACTTGATTCATCCAAAAGAAACTAAGAACTTAATTAGTCATTTTTGCATTAAATGCTCTTAAAACACTAAGAAAAACTAATTTAATTTTATTTGCCTTATCTTTTTTCTTTTCTACTTTTTTATTTGGCCTATAATTATTAAAGTGTTTTTTGTATTTTTTAAATTATAAAAATGTATATATTTTTTACACTAAATCACTAAGTAGTCATTGATAATTGAGGCTTACACCTTTTTATGCCTCACACCTTGAGGCATGAGTCTTATGCCTCATTCTAACAAAGGTTTAAGCCTCACATAAAGTTGTGAGGCCTAAGCCTTGAGGCAAAATCTATGCACCTCGCCTCAAGGTGTACACCTCACGCCACAAGGCTTAAGCCTTTTAAAACATTGGTTAGATCCCAAGTACAACCAGTGGGTGTTTAAAATAAACATTGAACCTAGACAAATTTCTAGTTATGCCTTAGACATTGGAGATAAATGGGCAAAAATAAAAAGTTGCACTTAGATTATTATATTGCACTAGGTTTTGGACTGAATTGCCTTTGATATGCTAACAAGTGAGATCAATTAAGAGTTAAATATCTAGGTATATTGGGGCAATTTGGAAAATTACTTGAGTGGGTGATCATAGTGGTAGGATCGACCCCTTTGTTAGACAAAGTGAATATCAGAGTTTACACTCTCTTTGATGGAAACCTCAAACTGAGGTTTTAATCTTAAGATCCATCTGAGTAGAGAGTGTGACACTGAATTTTGTAGTCAGGGAAAATGTCCCTTCATATGGGTAGATTTTTGATGATTATAAGTTGAGAGATTAGGTGTAAAAGACCATTACAAGAATGATTACCTAATAGGATTTATCTTAAATAAGTCCATTATCATTTGGTCTTCTTCATAGGGTAGTTGAATCTAAGGATCATTTATGTGTAAATGCTAGGCCTAAACTGAGCCTAAGTTGATTAGGTCAGGGGTTCACTACCCTTGAGTAATGAATTCGGCCTAATCTCTACCAGAGGTGGGACTGAACCATTA